GGGGGGGGGGGGGGTGGCAGCGTGTGTGTGCGGGGCCGTGGCGAGGGGTGTGCGAGAGGCTGTGGGTGCGGGCAGCGTCCTTCACACATCGTCGCTGTGAACAGGAGCTGCTGGCGCTCGCCGGCGTGTCAGAGGTGCGGGCGAGGTGCGGGCGAGGTGTGTGGCTGTGAGTGCAGGCAGCGTCTCTGCACACCTGCGCGGCGAAGCGGCGCTCCTTGAGCGTGAGGATCATCAGCTCGATGCCCTCCGCCTTGAGGAAGAGCGTCTGGTTGGCGGGCGCGTGCAGCGCGCTGCAGAGGCAGTCATACATGTTCTCGACCAGCTCAGCCTCCTCAAGGGCCTGCCGCGAGAAGACGCCGGCCGTCGGGGTGAGGAGACGGCCGCCATCGCTTTCGCCTTCCTGGCTGGGACCCAGTGCCGACTTCTGGCTGTCGTTGCTGTCTCTCCCGGTTCTCGACTGTCTGTGCTTGTGCGTCGTGGGACCGGGGTTGTGTCTTTGCGTGAAGACGGCATCGGGCAGTGTGTATTCAGAGCACCGCGTGCAGACACGGGCTTCGAGGGCAATGAGCACCGCGGGAATACGGTCGAGTACAGCTGAGTGCGCGTTCTCTCGAGTGCTGGTTGGAGTACAGGAAGACGCATTCAGCTTCGAGGCGCGCGCGCCTGCGGCTCGCGCCTCTTGTAGTACGAGGTAGCGGTGAGCAGCGCGAGCACGCCGCCTTCTTCGCCGAACAGGGCCTGGTTGGGCGCGTTCTGCTGCAGCAGCACGGCCAGCAGCTCCGTCGCATATAGCTTGTTTGCGTGGAAGGGGCGCAGCTTGATCCGGCCAAGCAGCCACGACATCAGCCCCGCGTCACGTGCCAGTGGCGCTGACAGCTCCGGGCTGGCCTCGAGCAGCGCCTCGAAGATGCCGAGCGACTGGTGCACGGCGCGGCTCTCCTCGTCCACCGCCTCGTCCAGCCGCTTCAGGTGCTCCATCAGCGCAGCCGGCGCACCGTGCTCGACCAGCGCGTCGGCCAGCGCCTTGACGTCGTCTGGGTCGGCGCCATCGGCGTCTGCCATTTCGTGCAGCAGATCGACGACGTCGATTGAGATGTCCGAGTTCTCGTGCATCAGCAAGCCGAGCAGCGAGGAGACGCACTTGGTCCGCACGAACGTCGGGAAGAGCTCAGGCGCCGTCGCGAGCACGTGCAGCCGCTTGAGATGCGAAAACAGCTCGAGTTCCGAGTCCATGAATTTCTCGGGGCGGTCTGGGTACTTCATGCGCAGCGCCATATTGTCGTTGATCCGCCGCTCGACCGCCAGCACCATCGCCTTCATCCCGTTCTCGTCCACCGCGGCGACCTCGACCTGCGACTCCTCCAACTCCCGCTCAGCGCGTGCGAGGAGTTCTGCCGCTTCGAGCGCCGCCTTTCCGCTGCCCGGCCGCGCGCGCTTGGCTGGCGGCTGCTCGTCGGCGCTGCTGACGGGTCGCTGTTGGAGCGACTCAAGCTCGCGGAGGCCTTGCATGGCGCAGTAGCTTGAGCTTGAGTCAGTAGTAGCCCGCGAGGTTGAGTCGCTCCCGGAGTCAGCCCGCGGGGCAGGCGCGCCCTCAGATGCACCGATTTTTCTTTTTAAAGGAGATCTCTTCAGGTTGGGCCAACGGCGTCGACCCACGGCGCCCGCGCTGGCCGCGTTAGTGGCCGGCCTGGCCCGCAGGAAAAGAGATTTGTTTGAATCCGAATACGTGGGCCCGCCTGTGGCTGTGCGTGCCGCCCGGGATAGAGGAGGTGCCCTCGCCGCTCGCCCACCCATCGCCGAGAACGGTACTCAAACAACGAATTGCTAAAAATCTCTAGAAACTCACAAGCCTGCTTACAAGACGAACGAGACCCGCTCTGGAATGCTGAGCCACTCCGGTCCCCCCTGCCTTGGGCTCGGCCAGGTTTGCCAATCGCACCCCGTCCGTCTGTTTTCCTTTCCTTTTTTCTCTACAACTCCCTCTCTTTTCCTCTCTGTTTTCCCGGGAAAACTGCGTGGAAATCGTCAAATTTTGGGGCTCTGAGCCGAGTCTGAGGCTGGTTTGGGCCCAAAATCAGCCAAATTTTAGGCCAAATCGGCAAAATGCCGGGAATTTCGCGGAGAACCCGTGTATACCTGGAAATTACCCTGCGACCGCCAGGGTATTTTGTCGATTTCCTCAATTTTGCCGAGGATTTTGCCCCAGACCAGCTCTCAGACTCAGGGAAACTCGCGAGTTTCCAGAATGGAGCACCAAACACCCTCTCTCTGTTTTCCCTGGAAATTTCCGGAAACGCAAAGTGCTGGGGACCCTCTGTTTTCCTTTTTGTTTTCCGGAAAACCTGGCCGAGCCCAACCCCTGCCAAGAGAAGCGATGCGCGAGCGCCGGCGAGCACCGCCGCCCGCGCCTTGGCGTGGAGCGGTAGCGCGTGGCCGAGCCGACCGCCGTTCGACCTGGCGCCGAGTGGCTCCCAGATCGAGCGCGGCAGGCTCAGTCGCACCCTCGCGGAGCGAACGCGAACCGAGCCGTCGCCGTTCGCCGCAGCCGTCAGCCGTCAGCCGGCAGCAGCCGGCCGCCGGCAGCCGGCGGCCGGCAGCCGGCAGCCGGCAGTCGCCGTCGCTGCCGCCGCCGCCGCAGCAGCAAGCGAGCGAGCGTGCTCGGAGCTGGGTCGAATGCGCGAGGTCGTATGGCACTTGGAGCACTTGGAGTGCAGTTGGCAGCCTCACATCCAGGGCCGGGGAGCTAAGAAGCGCACCCAGCGGGCCGGATGATCGGGATCGGGTTACGGGCAAGAGAGCCCTAGCCCCGGGGGTGCGCGTTCGCAGGGAAAGGGCCTTAAAGTAAACACGGGTCCCCGAGGGTTAGCTCTGCGCTCCGGGTTTCCCCTAGCAGCGGAACGCCCCCTCTACTCGGGGCTAGTAGACACCAGGCACTAGCACGACAACACACCCATTCCTCACTGACTGCACCGCTCGGAGCCCCCCCGCTCCGCGCACGGTCTCCTCACCCCCCCTCCGAGGGGGGCCCTCCCTCCCCTCGGCCCTCCCTCCTGTTCGCCTTCCGATGGTTATGCGATGATTGTGGGGCCCGACCTCCCCTCCTAGCCTTCTTTGGCCGCGGCCCCGCCACCGTTTCGTCCTCTCTGCCTGATCCCGCTGACTTCGCCTCCGGCGACCCCGCTCCCGACCCCCTGGGCGAGGACGGTGGCATTGGGTCACACCCACTTCCACCCCCGGGAGGTCGAGCCCGCTCTCCCTGGTCGGCGAGTCGTGCCCGCACCCGCGGCCTCTCTATCGTCCTCGGCTCGCCCCCCCCCTCCGCCGGCTCCTCCTCAGGCTCGGGGAGGCGTGGCCCTCCCTGTCGGAGATCACGGTGGCCCGGCTGCCACCGCGACGGGTCCCCCCCCGGCGAGCTCGTACGTCCCGACTCTACTCGCAGAGGCCGCGTCAGCTCATCTCTCGCCTCCTCCGACAGCTGACCCCAAGCCCCCCCCGGGGCCCTCCGGCCTCGGCCCTCCGGCTCGCCGGCGGGTCCGTTATCGTATTGCGGCAACTCCCCTCCCCCAGCTCCTCCTCCCGGGTACACCAGCCTCCGGCGGGGCGGTTCCGGATCCCCCCAGTTATTCCGAGCGGGTCCATACGGTGGCGGCCCCGTCGGCGGCGGGGGTGGAGGCACCAGTGGCAGGGGCGGCGGGTACGGTGGCGGCCCTCGCGGCCCAAACACCTGGTGCGGAGCCGCTGGGGCGGCCCCACGACCCTGCAGCCGTTCCAGTGGCGGGGGCGGAAATGGCAGTGCGGGTGGCGGGAACGATGGCGGCACTGGCGGCCGCACCTCCTGGTGCGGAACCTCAGGGGCGGCTCCTCGACCCAGCGGTCGCTCCAGCGGCGGGGGCGGAGGCGGTGGTGGTGGGGGCGGGCCTGGTGGCGGTGCCGGCCGCCGCAACTCCTGGCGCGGGGGGGGGATGCCCCTTGCCCCCTGCTGGGATTCTTTTTCCGTGCAAGTGGCCACGCAGGCGAAGAGAATTTTGAGCCCGGGGTTCCCGTTCTCGTGTCTGGCCTTTTCTCGGGGCCGCCCTCGCACGGTTTCTTAATGCCCGCAACCCACTGCATGGGACTCCTCTCTCCCTGCCAAGAGAAGCGATGGACGACATAAACGGATCGATTCGGTCAATGCTCACGCTGCTCGATGACGACTCCTCCTCCGAGAGCGAGGCCGGCGACATCGACGACCTCCTCTCCTCCCACGAAGACCTCCTTTCCAAGTGCCCGACCTACGAGGTGCGCGCGCGCAGCCGCCCCTCTCACGCCTCCACCCTTCCTCTCACGCCCTTCCCTCACGCACAGTACGTGCCCAACGCCCTCGCTGGCCCGCACGGCCGCAAGTCGCGCCTAGCTCCTCACGACGCGGCACTGCCCGCGACGGGGCACCGGCCCAACTGGGAGCTGCTGCCGGCGGCGGCGTCCGCGCCGCGGCGCAGGAGACGCGGCAGGCGCTTGGCCAACCCGCTCTCCGCCTCTTGCTCCTCGCTCCCGTCCTCGTCCGCCTCGTCCTCGCTCTCCTCTCCATCGCTGTCCTCCCCGTCCTCCTCCTCCTTCGCCGCTTCGCCCCTCGGCTCGGCGCACCACTCGCGCTCGCCGCTGCCGCCAGCGCAGCAGCTCGCGCCGCCATCCCCCCTGGCGCAGCTGGGCCTCGCACCTCCCACGCCGTCGTTGCCGCCGCCGCAGCCGCCCCCGCCCCCGCCGCCACCGGCGGCCGCCGCAACCTCTCTGGCCAGCTCGCTCAGCGCGGCCTCCTTCCTTGCTTCCTCATGGGAGGACCTCCGCGTAGACAGGGCGGGCGAGGCGCCGCCGCCCACCCGCCCCTTCCCCGCCCCCATTGGCCCCTCCTTCTCCACCCCAATCCTCCCCTCGTGCCTGCCGCCCTCCGCCGCCGCCACCGCGTGGCAAGGCCCAGCTGTCGGGACCGCCGCGGCGACGACGCTCCGAGACGCCGTCACCGCAGCGCGCGCCGCCTCCGCCGCCTCCGTCGCCTCGGCCTCTTCCGCCTCGCCCGTCGTCGCCGCCTCGCCCGCCGCCACTCCGCCCGCCGCCGCCGCCGAGGCGGCCAGCCGGCCCGGCTCACGCCCCTCCCGTGCGGAGAGGGGCCGGTCGGGCCGGAGGCACCGGAGGGACACGGGCGTCTCGATCCGCGCGCTCCGCATCGTCGACGCGGCGCGGCTGGGGCCGTGGCCGCCCGCCGCCTTCTCCAAGCTGTGCAACACCCTCAAGGAGCCCTCGCTGCTGAGTCCCCCCGCCGCCCCGTCCGCGACGTGCCCGTGACGCGCCTACGACTGTCCCATAGGAGGCTCCGCCGTCGCTGCTGCACGTCCGCCTCTCGCTCCGTTCCGCCCCGTCGCTTCCGGCGCGGCCGCTCTCCCGGGATGGCCGTGCAGCAACTCAACCTCACCTCTCCCGCCCTCCTCTGCCAGGCGGTGCTGCTCGTTCAGAATGAGTCGTTGCGAGGTGGAGGAGTCTCCTTTCGGCTCGACGAGCTCTGCGCCGAGCATTTGGGCGGCAATTTGCTGTTGCGCGCCGCGGTGGCGCAGCATGCAGAGGGGGCCATGGCGAGACCGATTGCCGCCTTGTGGGTGTAGAAATATCCCGGCTGTCGGAGGCTGGAGGGCCGACCGCCGATCTGCCGCGTGCCGGTCGTGGAACTGCAATGTTTGTGTGCAAGCTGCAAGCGTTTTACACATGTGCATGTAAAGTTGTCGGTGAACGTAAAAAAAGAGGACAGGCGCCCGGGGGACACACGGAGAGGCAACGGGGCAACCCACCGCGGCGCGCGCGCTCTCGAGGCTCCGGAGCGATCCGCCTCGTGCCACACGAGTCGGCAGTCGCGCGGCCGCCGCGCGGCGGGGCGCGGGGGTTCGACGTTCGTGCGCGCCTCTCCCCGTCCCCCGCGTCCCGCGATGATTTCCGAGATTCTGAGACAGGCACATGCTTATCACTGCGCATCAATAGATACGCTCTATAACGGCAACCTCTCTCATGCAGCGGCCCACAACACTTCACTGGCTAGCCCACAATATACTACTCACATTCTAGAAAACCGCGTTTGTCCGCCGCCTCGGCCTCACGCCGTGGTGTGCGCTTGGCGACGTCCCTAGTACGCGCCATTCTAAGGGGACGCGGGGGCCGCATCTCGTGTCTTCATCTCGCGCAGCTCCTCCCGCAGGCGCCGATTCTGAATCATGAGCCCTGTGAAGGCAGCGTCCGAGGAGGCCGGGAGGAACGAGGTTGCCTTGAGGCGGCAGACGCTGCTCAGGCTGCCGCTCCGTACCTCTTCGAGAAAGAGCTTGAAGAGCACGTTTTCCACCGTCTCGCGCCGCGAGCCTTTGGTCGTCCACAGCAGCCGCTTCCGTCCCTATCACGCCACCACCACACCCGGTGAGTCGGCGGCACTACGACTCTCGTAGGCGTTGGCGCTTCCGCTCCTTGTTCAAGGGCGTGGGACACGCCTCAAGCTCGATGCCGAGCGCACCCTCGCGGCTTCCGCCCCAGGTCAGAAACTCCAGAACGACGGCGCCTGCGCGGGTGCGACTCGCGTCACGGCACGTGCTGCCTACTAATGCACCACGCTCGGGCCAGCGCCACCGTAGCGGTCGGAGCCTTGGGTGTCGAGGCGCAGCTTAACGGCGGGCGCGTTGAACATGGCCCAGTCCTCGCCGCTCCAGGTAGAAATCTCCTCCGCGATCTGACGCAGCTTGGAAATGGCCTCTGCGTCGTCCGTGATCGAGGAGAAGGTGATATGACGCTGCGCGGCTCTCCAAAGCATCACGGGCGGCACTGGCGCTCTCCACGCCCTCTGCACGTCGGCGCGGGAAGTTGGTGGTGCGAGCGCAGCGACCGCGGCGGCGAGGGAGAACATTGGATTCGGCAAGAGTGAACCGAGCCGAAGTCGACAGAAGCGCAATCTGGAAAAGAATTTTGCATCAAGCATGGGCCGGACCTGCAATGACTCCAAGCTTTGCCGCTTTGTCCACCCGCAGACAGGGACGAGGTGCACCGTCAGACTAGAGTCGGCGGGCGAATGGGGCTGCGAGGCCCACATCCTGCAGGCTCCACCCGAGGTGCTCCAGACGGCGCTGGCCATGCGCGAGGCGCGTCGTGAGAAGAAGCGACTTACGGAGGCGACAAGGCGCGCTCGCGCTCGCGAAGCCGCCGACCGCCCTCAGAACGCTGGCTCGAGCGCTGACAAGAAGCAGCGCGTCTCGGTTCCCTGCGGCCCGAGCTTCGCGGCGGCGGCGGCGACAGCGCTAGCTGCGTGTGCGTCCTCTCAGGTGCCACAGTCGGCTCCGCCGCAAGGCGGACGGCGCCCTTCCCTGAGCCGGCTGCGCCTAGGGTGGCGGAAGGGTGAATCCGAGCCGTTCGAACGCTCATGCGGCCGGATGGGGTGTGCCGA